GGGAGGGAGAGGGGAGGGAGAGAAGATATTGATTAGCTGACTAGTCAAAAGACTATCCAATAAGCAAATGCTTATTGGATAGTCGACTAATCTTTTACATCCCTAGTAGGGGACAGACACAATTCAATCATTACATTTGCTACAACAGAAGGGATGTTCAGCATTCTTTGGCAACAATCAAGTTACTATGCTGTTAAACAGGGAGGGAGAGGGGAGGGAGAGAAGATATTGATTAGCTGACTAGTCAAAAGACTATCCAATAAGCAAATGCTTATTGGATAGTCGACTAATCTTTTACATCCCTAGTAGGGGACAGACACAATTCAATCATTACATTTGCTACAACAGAAGGGATGTTCAGCATTCTTTGGCAACAATCAAGTTACTATGCTGTTAAACAGATTGGCAATTAACCTGGTAGTTGGATCCACTTGAGAGGCTGGCATGAAGGCTCAAGAAAATGATTTAATTTCTCAGAAGTTGATTTACAAAATAAAAAATAATACTTCATTCTCCAGTCACTAATCTCAATTTCTAGTGTAAAACAAATTGAGAAACTTTTCAGGCCTTCACTGTATCATAAAGCAGCAAAAATATGACTTGAAGCTTATCTTAAAATAATTAGAACACCCTGCTCCCGAATGGACAGACGAATATTTTGAAGATAGTAAACACTGCAAGTTTCATAATATACCTTTTCTTTATCCTTTTCAAGCTGTTTCTGAAGTTTTTTAGCTTTGCTTTTTGCATGTTTTAGTTTTTCCCTTACTGTAACATCCTGCAAATCCAGCTGAGTAAATTTCTCTTTATTTTCCTCTATGAACTTTGTAATTTTATTGAGTTTCCTAAAAAGAGGGGGAAAAAACAGTCACTTTTGTATTAAAATAATTTTCAGCAAAAATTGGTTTAGCTAGTGAGAACTTTTAAGAGGTCTTGAATTGAATGTGGTGCTATTAATTTTTTATTAAAATATCCAATTTGTATTACATTCACTATTCCCCTATAGCACTAAGGCTAAAGAAATGGAAGCACTATCAGCTTGTCAAGCATTAGAAGCCATGTACAGTTGTGAAAAGCAGCATTTTCTCCAACGCATGTATGGTTAGCAATGCTCATTGATGAGTTCTCATCACTTCATGAGATAGGAGGGAGCCTGATTCTGTGATCAGAATATGGACTTAGGCCTACACAAAGAGTTGAGGTTGAATTTAGCTATATAAAGTCAATTTTCTAAACAAGCCCACACTACCAACTCCTTTCCATCGACTTTAAGTGTCAGTAAACTCAATTTTGGCACTCCCACTTTTCACAAGGAGTAATGCCAAATTTGACCTTGCCTGGTCAACTATATGGCAGGGTAGACGCAGTGTCGCAAAAGTCAATGTTCTTGGCATCCAGGAGGCATTCCTTCCTCTCTGGCCCGCTGTGATCACTCTGCCTTGACTTCCATGAGTTCAAGACCCATGAGATCCATTTCCCATGGGCGCAGACAAGCACCAGCATGGAGTGTGAAGGAGATCCTGGACCTCATCAAGGCATGGGAAGAGGAATCTGTTCTCACAGAGCTCTAAACCAGCAAAAGAAAGAAACCTGGAAATGTATGCCAAGACTACAAAGTCCACAGTGAAGAAAGGGAACATCAGGAATGTTCATCAGTGCTGAACGAAAATAAAGGAGCTGAGGTATTCCTACCAAGAGACAAAAGAAGCAAACAGATGGTCTGGAGTATCACTGCAAACATGCCGCTTCTACAAGCAGCTGCATTCGATCCTGGGGGCACCCAACCATCTTCCCAAGCCAGACCATAAAATCTTCCTAAGACACACATCAGGACAGTAGAGTAGGAGGAGGAGGAATATGGTCAGCAGGCAAATAAAGAGAGCCAAGAACTTTTTATAACCTTGGAGACAACCCTCTCCTTTCCAGAATATATCAGTCAAGCACTGATCCCAGGGAGGGCACTTCTAGGGAGTACACATTTTTTTTCTTGCTACAAACAGGTTAAAGCAGTTGTGTGGCATACACAATGCATAAACAGCGTGGGGGGCCCAGAACAGCTTGTTAACTAGGGATGCGAAAGGTTAACCAGTAAGCATCACCCAGTTCCAGTTAACCGGTAGGAGCTGAGGCAGCAGATGGCTTGCTGCAGACAAGGGCTACTCTTGTCCAGAGCAGCCCCTATCCATGCCAGGCTTGGGCACCCTGCAGGCAGGGGATGCTCTGGTGGGGGCTAGGAGATGGAAGAGCCAGTTTCAGCCGCAGAGTAGGGCTGGGAGCAGGAGCCCCACAGGCTGGGGGCTACTTCTGCTGTGCTGAAACAGTCGCCAGCCTAGGTCCTACTACAGTCATTTAACCAGTTAAATGTTAGGTTACCCTAATGTTTAACCATAAACCAATTAAACCTTTCCATGCCAAGCCAGCAGTAAGTGGTATGGCATCACTGAACTACAAAGCATTACAACATAAGGCCCAGGTTTATAGCCACATTCATTCAACATGAGCTCCCTATTACTTTGTGCGATTCAGAGAAGACTGATATCTCACATGGCAACTTAGATAGAGGAAAGCAAGCTATTAGCTGCTGCCTCTGTTGCGAATCTCTTTTGCCCATCCCTAGTGAAGCATGGCTTCAGCCTATGGCACTCTCTCCTTCCCTCCTGCTCTCCACCCAGAAAACAAGGTATGGTGGACACAGAGGTAAGCTAGTTAGCTGCCGCCCTGTCAGCATGACCAGACCCCATCCTCCCTTCCCACCTTCAGGCTCCTGTGGGATAGGAAAGTGTCATTCCCCAAGGAAGCGGGGTGTGACAGTCACAGAGGAGGGAAGCCACATGAACCACTGGACCCTATTCCCCTTTCCACCTGCAGACTCCTGTGGGATGTTAAAGCAGCATCCCCTCCCCCACCCAGAAAGCGGGACATGGTGGACACAGAGGAGGGAAGCCACGTGAACTGCCGTCTTGCCTGGACCCTATCCCCACTCTTACCTGCAGGATCGTGTCCTGGAAGGACCCTTTCCAGATCTGCCTCCAAACCACGTGAATCCAGATATTCCATTGAGAACACTATTGTGTACCTGGTGTACAGTGACCTTAACTTTGGCTTTGCACAGTACACATCTCTATTGTCTTTAAAGAGACCTTTGCTATCTGTTAACAGATTAGGTTTTAGGATCCACAATGTATCTCCTGTAACGTATGCCCTCGTAACTTTTTGTTACAGAGGGAACAGAAGAGAGGTTGCTGTATACTCTCTTTGCTCCACCAGCTATCCGGCTTGTACAAAACTGAAAATGGACAAGGGAACATATGCTCAAGCAGCAAATGCATTCTATCCACTTGGACAGGGAGTATGTAATCAAGTGGAAGAATCCAGAGAGATGCGAGCAGAGAGTCAGCAAACTGCAAATGCAGCACCAGGATGTCTTGTCATCCCTGATACCTGCAATGGAGCACATGGCAGATTTCCAAGATGAATACCTGGACTGCACCCTCCCTCCCCCTAAACAACTTTCCATCCTCACCCACTTCTGTAGCCTTCTCCCTTAGGGGTCCTAGGAAATGGGATGGGAACTTAAGGGAAGCCTCACACTCAACTTCTAGGACATTGTGAAGCAATAGGCTGCCCTTCTTGCATTTCTGACCCTCCCCAGGGGTCCCACTATAGACTCCTTTTCTGTTCCTGCTGTGTTCCCTAACTAAAAAAGACGATTTCTAAACAGTCTCTTTTTAAGGAGAGCCACCCAGCTTTTAAGCCAACTCCCCACACGTGCTGGTTCTTCCAGAGCCACTAGCCACCTCCCCGGCTGCCTCCCATGCCCCCTAATAGAGAGACAGCAGCATAGAGGGTGGGGCAGGGGGCAGGCGGATCCAGTGCTCATGGGGAGCTGGCTTAAAAGCCCAAGAACCAGCTCCTGCCTGCCTCCATGTATTTCTGCCTCTGTATTAGGGGGCACAGGGCAGGGCAATGCTGAAGCAGCCTCTGTCCACAGGGAGCTCGGACCCCTCATGGACAGACGTTGCCTTAGAGTAGCCTCTGTCCATGGCAGGCCTGAGCTCGCTGTTGACAGAGGCTGCTCAGGCACTTTACAGACAGGAATGACAGGCAAAAACCAGTCTGCATTGGGTAGTAGATTTTTAAACCAGTTCCCTGCATGGACTGGTTCCGCCTGAAAAGGGAAGGGTCTTCCCCCCCAGGAGGGGGGCCAGGTGCGCATACTTGAAGTCACAGTTCTGAATTATAATCTTACAATCAAATACACAATGCACTGCCGTAGGAACAAGATTATTATAGTTATAATGTGGCTGTTTATGTGCATAAGTGTAACTGAGAAAAGACCCACAATCCACCGAAAGAGTGGCAACCTAATGCTGTTGTTTTCTATGTCTCTGCAGGTTCTGTCAAAGTAAGAAGCTACTATGGGAGTTAATGTGGCTCATAGCTGCTTATGATGCAGGAATGATCACAAATAAGCCCCTAATGCTTTACTATTTGTCACACATGAAGGAGAATATTCTCTGTACTTTCATTCATCTACCATGAACTTTAACTGGAAGTATGAAAGAACAACATGAGGACTTGAAAACTTAATGGTTATTTGATAGAGTAGGGCTACTGAACTTTGGAAGCCGGGGGGCCACAATGTTACTCACAGCACATGCCAAGGGCCGCAACTTAAGTGTGGTTGCATTTACATACAAATATATATGTAAATGTATGCAAATAACTTTTCACACTGATGGGTATGAATACAAAGATTAAGGAAAGACTATATAACACACAGGCCTCATTTAAGTCAGTCCTGCTGATAATTAATATTTACCCTCTTTCCACCCATATGACAGAACATAAGAACGGCCGTACTGGGTCAGACCAAAGGTCCATCTAGCCCAGTAGCCTTTTTGCCGACAGCAGCCAACACCAGGTGCCCCAGAGAGGGTGGCAATGATCAAGCGATTTGTTCCCTGCCATCCCTCTCCAGCCTCGGACAAAAAGAGGCCAAGGACACCATTTTATCCCCTGGCTAGTAGCCTCTTATGGACCTAACCTCCATGAAATTATCTAGCTTCTCTTTAAACTCTATTATAGTCCTAGCTTTCACAGCCTCCTCTGGCAAGGAGTTCCACAGGTTGAGTACACACTGTGTGAAGAAGAACTTTCTTTTATTAGTTTTAAACCTGCTACCTATTAAGTTCATTTGGTGTCCTCTAGTTCTTCTATTTGGTGAACTAATAAATAACTTTTCTTCATCCTCCATCTCCACACCACTCATGATTTTATATACCTCTATCATGTCTCCTCTTTTCTAAACTGAAAAGTCCCAGTCGCTTTAACCTCTCCTCATATGGGACCCGTTCCAAACCCCTAATCATTTTAGTTGCCCATTTCTGAACCCTTTCTAAGGCCAAAATATCTTTTTTGAGGTGAGGAGACCACATCTGTATACAGTATTCAAGATGTGGGCATACCATAGCTTTATACAGGGGCAGTAAGATATTCTGGGTCTTATTTTCTATCCCTTTCCTAATAATTCCTAGCATCCTATTTGCCTTTTTGACCGCCGATGCACACTGTGTGGAAGTTTTCAGAGAACTGTCCACGATAACTCCAAGATCTCTTTCCTGATTTGTTGTAGCCAAATTAGCCCCCATCATACTGTATGTATAGTTGGGGTTATTTTTCCCAATGTGCATTGCTTTACACTTATCCACATTAAATTTCATTTGCCATTTTGTTGCCCAATCACTCAGTTTGGTGAGATCTTCTTGGAGTCCCTCACAGTCTGCTTCTGTCTTGACTATCCTAAACAGTTTGGTATCATCTGCAAACTTTACTACCTCACTGCTTACCCCTTTCTCCAGATCATTTATGAATAAGTTGAAAAGGATTTGTCCCAGGACTGACCCTTGGGGTACACCACTAGTTACCCCTCTCCAATCTGAAAATGTACCATTTATTCCTACTCTTTGTTTCCTGTCTTTTAACCAGTTCTCAATCCAAGAAAGGACCTTCCCTCTTATCCTATGGCCATGTAATTTACACAAGAGCCTTTGGTGAGGGACCTTGTCAAAGGCTTTCTGAAAATCTAAGTATACTATATCTACTGGATCCCCCTTGTCCGCATGTTTGTTAATCCCTTGAAAGAACTCTAATAGATTAGTTAGATAGGATTTCCCTTTACAGGAACCATGTTGACTTTTGTCCAACAAATTATGTTCTTCTACATACTTTATAATTTTATTCTTTACTATTGTTTTGACTAATTTGCCTGGTACTGAAGTTAGATTTACCAGTCTGTAATTGCCAGGATCGCCTCTAGAGCCCTTTTTAAATATTGGTGTCACATTGGCTACCTTCCAGTCATTAGGTACGGAAGCTGATTTAAAGGATAGTTTACAAACCACAGATAATAGCTCAGCAATTTCCCATTTGAGTTCTTTTAGAACCCTTGGATGAATGCCATCCGGTCACGGAGATTTGTTAACATTAAGTTTTTCTATTTGTTCCACAATCTCCTCTAATGACACTTCAATCCGGGACAGTTCCTCAGATTCATCACCCACAAAGGTCGGTGCAGATTTGGGAATCTCCCTAACATCCTCGACCGTGAAGACTGAAGCAAAGAAATCATTTAGTTTCTCCGGAATGGCTTTATCATCCTTGATTGCTCCTTTTATAGCTCGATCATCTAGGGGACCCACAGGTTTTGTAGCAGGCTTTCTGCTTCTAATGTACTTAAACATTTTGTTATTTCTTTTTGAGTTTTTGGCTAGCTGTTCCTCAAAATCTTTTGCACTTAATGAGCAATGACAGTCCAGCAATTCAACTACTATAACCCGTATCAACAGAAGACCATTACATTGACTACTTTTTTGTTTTGGCTCCCACCTGTGGGCCGTGTGTTGAGTAGCCCTGTGGTAGAGCATTAATACAGACTGAAAACAAAAGACCACTTTTATATGGAAGAGGCAAAACAGAAGTGATAAAACAGTTTCATTACTGACCTCAAAACTTTACATGTTCAAAGTACATAATGTGCCATTACAGTGTGTAAGATAATGGGAATACTTACTTTTCTACATCTTTCAAAGCATTACTTTTAACTTTCATTTCATCAGCTAGTTTACTACTCTTCACGTTAACATCTTTAGTGTCTTCATGAATTTTTCTCTTCTGTGTTTCCATGTCAGTTATCCGATTTTGCAGGTCATAACTAGAGGAAACACATATATTGTACATATTTGAGGATTACAAAAAAGACCCTTATGTCAAATTTACTAGGATTTTTATTTAAAAATTGATTTGACAGGTTAAGTTCTAAATTTACAACTAATTATTTTGCACTTAAAATGAGGTTAAAAAATCCAAAGATTTTACAGTTTAAAAATGTAAATAATTTCAGGCTTATCTCTATGGTGGAGTAATGTGTCATACAGAGCTATAATTTCTAAAGTGCACTATGTGTTGTTCATTAATTGGTCGATGCAGACTCTGTTGGTACGCATAGTTTTCCTAATGCAGGCTAACATAATGAAGTACTAGGTTAAGAATGTTAGGGAACCTTGAGTGTGCACCGGTAAGGCCTATATGGACTAATTAATGTGCAACATGTTACTGTGCTTTAGTAATCATACTTTCCATAGGATACACTGCTACTTCATGTAGTCAAACTCTTAGTTATTCATTTAAAATATCTAATTTCTCTTTAAAGTAGGAGGTTGGTCTTAGGAAGTCCATCAGCCAAACTATAGGTGGGAAAACGAGGCGAGATTAAAAACAAGTTATTGTGAAAGAAAGCTGGCAACCAAGTTTTTTTTCTTGATTGCTATTTGAAAGTATTAGTTAATATTTTAAGAAAGACAATTACTTATCTTTCTGAACTGCTGTTCTTAGAGATGTGTTACTTATGTCCATTTCAATACACGTGCATGGTCTCTGTAAAGCTTTTACCCTAGCGGTAGCCATAGGGTCAGTATTGGGCCCCTGATGTGGGGCTGCTGTGCTTCTATGGGGCAGCATAGAAGTGGCTTGAATTCTTTCCGCTGCAGGGCTGAGGTGTGCATACCCAGGCTCTTCCGTGTTGCCATGATACCCTTTAGACTGTGCAGGTGCAAGTCTGTGTTCTTGGCAAACAATTCAGCATAGCTGAATGACAAATCCGGTATCCTGTTCTGCACCTCAGGAGGAATTCTAGATACCATGAAGTGCCTGGTGTGACTGCAGGTATGACTGTGGCCAGCCGAATCTGCCTGTAGGGCTGCCATATGGAAGACCACGTGGCCCTCCTTGAGAATAGCAATTTACTCAGTCTCCTTGGGCAGCAATTCTTTGAATTTGTTCAAAGCACTCCAGGAATTATAGGCAGGGCTTGACAATCTATGTAATCTACTCGCCCGTGGCAAGTAGATTACATCCTGGAAGAGCCGGGTTCGGGCGATCTGCGCATGCACAGAACGCCAGACAGAGCGGCTGGCGAGCCCTGATTATAGGCATACCTGCTAAGGACTGCCTTTTGGTTTCCCACCCACAGCTGCAGACCCCCCCAGTGGCAAAAACCTTCCACCCATAGAGGTACAACGTTTTCAGCTCCTTGGCCTACAGTACAGGACCCAGACAAACCTGGCATTCCTTATGATTCGCTGCATCTACAACTAATGTACCTGGCTACAGGTGCATAAAGAGGTGCTCGTAGCCCTTTTGGGACACAAGCTACTGACATTCAACCCCTTTTATGGTGGATGGGATGGAAGCCAGAGTCTGATAGAACATCTTGGTGGTTCTAGTGATAGACGAGGGGCAATGCCACCCTTGAAAGCCCTTAGGCTATACACCGGGGATCCGAGTCTTCCACCACCTCCTCCACCTGTAACTGGAGGTTCCATGCTGACCTCCTGCGCAGGAGGTCCTGGTGGGTTTTAAGGATCATGTCTAGAAGAAATGTGGAGGATGGCCCTGCCACAGACTCATCCGGGGAGGAAGCTACAGTTTCTGTACTCCCACATGGGTGGAAAGGGACTATGCTACCACCAGCCTTGGGGATGAGAGAGAAGAGGATCCTGTCCTAGGTGTGCCAGCACAGTGGAGGGCACTGTTTCGCCTTCACCATTGGTGTAGGATCTACTGTGGCTGAAAGAGGGCCCCTGGGCACTGACGCAATCAATACTGGTCTTGGCTTTGGCAGTAAGGGCTACACAGTCCAAAAGTACCATTTCATAGAAGCCTCCCACTACAGAGGCTAGGACTGTTGCACCAGCAACTCCTGATGTACCAGCTGATTACTGCGACGAGTACTCTATGCCGGACCAGGGGGCTGCTGATCCCAATGGTGACAAGAAGTGGTATCTGGAGACACAGTGTCTAGTCAGTGTGGCCAGCTTGCCTCAGCAGATAGTGTCACATTCAATGGCGCCACATGCATCAGTTGTTGACGCTAGAGGAAATGGGCCAGAAATATCTGTGTTGTTGGTATCTGGGATGACAAAGAAGTACCTGCCATTGGTGCCCACTATGTGTAAGGCACGTAGTACCATTTCTGGTGTTCATGCAATGGTGACAAGTGGGATGTCAGATACCTTGCAATCTCAAAGGTATCTGGCATGGCCTGAAGATCAATGTCTTCCTCTAGACAGTCTCCGTCAATGTCTCATGCAGCAGTGATGCATGTGGATGCTCCTGGGCTGGACGCATCTCACTAAGGTATTTATGCGGTGCCTTTACTAGCTATCAGACCCGTCCATTGTCTTCCTCTTGGCTGGCACTGGGTCTGAGAACAGTGCCACGCAAGAAGGATGTTAAATTTAATCAACTAATTGACTACTTGATAAGCGGGGGAGATAAAGCAGGGTTAGTTCCCAGTCCGGGGAACTAACCTTGCTCAGCTTTGCCTTTTAAATGTATTAAGAGCTGGTAATCTCTTAACACATTTTAAAAGGCTGAAGCATAGCAGAGGGGACCCGGAGCCAGCCAGCGCAGCTGATTTCTGGCTTCGGATGGTCCCCCCTGCTGCGCACCAGCCTTTTAAATGTATTAACGGCCAGCAAGCTCTTAATACATTTAAAAAGAAGAGGCGCAGCATCTGGGACTGGGCATGAGCCAAGAATCAGCTGATTCCTAACTCATACCCAGTCCTTGCTACCCCCCTCCATGCTCCCTGCTTTTAAGCTGGCTCCACCCAGCATTGGCTCCTGGTTCCCCCCTTGCTGCTTCTGATAAAGGCAGCGGGGGATTGGGAGGGAGAGGACAGGACGTGACTAGTGTAGGGACTAGTCGACTAGCCGATAAGCTTTTACTTATCAGATAGTTGACTAGTTGCTTACATCCCTACCATGCACTGGGGGAGTGCTAAGTCCAGAATGCTTCTTCAGTTCATACTGACACCTGGTTGTTTTTCACTACTAGTACCGAGGGTCACCTACTTTAAGAGGAGCTTAGACGATGGTCCTGGTCCTTCTTAGCTCAGGTATAAAGACGCTGATAGATGGGGCACTTGTCCATTTGATGTCCTACACCCAGACACTTAAGGGTGGTTGGCATGAGGGTCACCCTGGGGGCATAAGCTTGCCACAGCTCTTTGAAACCTTGAGAGTGCGGCATACCTCGAAGCAGGGGCTGAATGGGGCAAGGAACCCTCAAAGATTACTAAAATATGAAATAACACTAACGATAAACCACAACTAACAACAACTATTTTCAAACTATTTACGCTAGGATAGACGTGAATGTTTGCAAGAGCAAGAGACCAAGCTATTCCAGTGACCATCACAAGTGATAAGGAACAGAGGGTGGAGAGGGTTGGGCAGACATTGGCTGTGCCTTATATACACTGCTGTAAAGGGTGCCACACCAGGGGGCTCCATTGCCAACGCTACGGACACCACTAGAGAAAAAGCTTTCTGGAGACTGTGCACACATGTATTGGAACACACAAGGAATCACTCAAAGAAAAACTTAATACTTAAGCATAAATGGGAACAAGGCACTGATTTTACTTGGTATTCATTTAAACTTGCACTATTCAGTGAAAGTATGGAGTGTTAGAGATTCATGCAGACAAAATATTTACAATGGAAATATAAAAACAGTGACGATAATTGGTAACTGCAATACCAATATAGAAACCAACAAACAGTTTAGAAAGGAAGATGATACTTACATGTAGTATTGGCAAATACGATTTTTTTCCTTAAACATTTTGTTTTCCAAAGAAAGAAATTCAATGGCTTTGTTTCTCTCTCCTTCTAAAGCATCTTTTTCTTTCTCTACCATTTTAACTCTGTTTAACTAGAAAAGGTAAATATAACATTCTAACAGAACATCAGAGAAAGAATAATGGACAGTAGGAAAACTGATCATACACTATATGGTAGTCAATTAACATTACATACAGGAAAAAAAATCCAAAATTAACATTATAACACAATTTAAGATTGTGAGTTTGAGGAAGGGATCTACTATGCTGTAGTAGGTCAATGGAGACTGAACCTACTTCAGGATTCTAGGCAATCATTCAAGATAAACAGCAACCTAGATTCTGCCTAACCCAGGGAATTTTACAATAAAATCTCTACAAAAATATATAAGGAAATCATGTCTCACCAATCTATCAGAATTCTTTGATGGTGGTTTAATAAATAAGGTTAATCAAGTATATTTGAACTTTCTGAAAGTCCAAGTATACAGTACTATAATCTTATACTTAAGAGCCTTTGGGGTCTCCTCAAAAGTTTTTAAGCAAAGCATGCAGTTATGGGATATCAGGGAAGGTCCTCTTCTCATAGATCAATAACCAGTTAAAAGAGTAGGAATAAATGTTCCATTTTTATAAGTAAGAGAAGTAAAAAGGCATCTGTACTGGGATCTGTGTTGTTCAACCTATTCATATAGGCTATGGAAAAAAGGATAAACAGGGAGGTGGCAGAGTTTGCAGAGTATATTAAATTAATCAATAATTAAGTTCAAAGCTGACTGAAAATTTAAAGGGTATCTCGTGAAACTTGGATGACAGCAACAAAAAGACAAATGAAATTCAATGTTAATAAATGTAAAGTAATGCACATTGGAGAACATAATCCCTACTATATATATAAAATGATGGGGTTTAAATCTTTATTTATTGGTGGGGACTTTTGATAATGCAATTGAGCCCTTTCAGCAGACACCTGAATCACCAGTAAGTTGGAGGCAGGATGAGTGAATAAGAATTCAGTTCTTTTAGCAGGTACAGAATACTATTTCTTGGTCCTTTTTGGTGTAGGGCATAGGATGCTGGAGTGTGGCATACTACTCTATTTATTTCTAGTATGGTTTCACTGATGGCCAGGATCATCTTATGCAGCTGTTGCTGAATGATGTCCAGGAGTCAGTGAGGGACCTGGACTGCCTCTAATGGGATTTGTTGGTCACTGACAACTCTTTATAAGAGCTCCTGGTACTGGTGGTAGTCTTCCAGCGGAGAAGGCAAAGAAGTGATCTTGTAACCTATTAGGTCTTCCTTTCAAATATGTTTATTCCAGCCCACACAATCCTAGTAGCTTTTATGGCAGGAGTGGCCAACTTTTGGCTTTCAAGCCACACATGGCTCTTTTACTGTTAAAAGTCTGTCTCAAAGAATCCCACTTCACTCCCACACCCCCATTTTTCACCTATCAGATTGTGGGTAGGAGCTGGGGGGAGGGAGAGCTTTGGACCTCTGCCTTGTAATAGGCGAAGGGCTTCTGCCCAGCAGGGATGGAGGGGCCTCCCAACTTCTGAAGATTATCTTATGTGCCTCAGAGGGTCAGGAAGCTTGGCCACCCCTGTTATCTCTCAACAACCTGGACTGATTTTCCATATCCTAGAGAGAAAATGAAGTATTTCCCCAATGGGTAATTTTGCCAAGGTGATAGGTATCAAGTCATACAGAAAGCTCCTACATATATTGAAGAAAATTACCATATTTGTCATACTAGCTCTAGAAATTTTGTAATGCTAATTAACACTTTCTGAACCACCTGAAAATAGATTTTATCTATAGCTCTTAGTCACTAAGCATCCACACTGTGGGACAGACTGCATGGGGCTTGGGGTGCCTGACTGTAATGCTGTAACAAATTATGGAAGACTGGTAACATGAACGGAGATTGGATTGAAAGGGTCTGGAAGTCCAAGTACTAATATTATCTTGCCAAGCTGGAGTTATGAGATATCATTATGGAGTGTTCTCATTTCAGCTTTCTGTTTAGTTCAGTAATCAGTGAATTAGAGGGTATTCTTATAGG